AGCGCTTTATAGGTTATAAGTAAAATCTTATAGTTGATGCGCTTTTTCATTCGAGCGAGTCATTTGAACTCTAGAGAGTTAGTAAATACAAATAATCGGATTTTGATCATAAATTTCGCAATCTGCAAATAGCGGCTATTAAACAACAGATTGTTTTGGCCTTTAGTAAGTGCCCGACGTTACTAATCGAACTGTTTAGTAACCGAAGCTAATCGAACCTAATCGAACTTAATCGAACTAAATCGAAAGATTGGATTCGATTAGTTCGATAATTGAGCACAATCGATCCCAAACATTTGTGTGAGAGGGTTCGATTGCTGTCGATTGTCGAACTAACCGAACCTAATCGTACTCAATCGAACACAATCAAACATCCTAAAATTCACCCTAAATACCAAAAGAAATCTAAGCAGTCTGTCGTAGTAACAGCTGCAAATTTATAATCAACTAATAATATTTTTATTGAAATAACCTTTGGACATAGAAATTACATTGATTTCACAAATGCAAGAGTAAACCGACTGTAAAATCGAACTCAATCACATGATTGGTGTTTGATTAAGTTCGATTGAGTTCGACTGAGTTCGATTGACCGAACGTTCGATTTGGCTCGATTAGTAACGTCGGATCAGTAATCATCTCATGTCCAAAAAGCGCGAGTGGAATAATTGTTTCATTAAAAATGCCCCAAAGATGTAGAAAACTAAACTAAAGTTAAAACAAAAAAGTCTACAAAAATCACGCAAACGCTTACCATACTTGTAGAATATGGAATAGACAAGGAATAGATTTTCCTTAATTGATGTGCTGAAAATGAACCTGGAGTTTGGCCGTCAGAGTTTTTCGTTTTTAGGAGCCTCGGTTTTTAACAGTTTACCATCGGAAATAAGAAATCTGAACTCTAGGCTGTTATTTAGGCAAAAGGCCAACGAACATTTTTATTTGTAATTCTTATTCGTAAGCTTTTACCTTGTACTTTTGCCTTTTTAATTTTTTAAAAAAAAATTTTCGATTTTTCCTTTTTAATTTTAAAATCTTACAGGACCCCTATGATAACTGTACTTTCAAGTACTGATGGGTTAATCCTGTTGAAAAATTCGTTTACTATTATTATTATTATTATTATTATTATTATTATTATTGTTATTATTGTTATTATTGTTATTATTGTTATTATTGTTATTATTGTTATTATT